GAATTGTAGCATGATTCAACAGTGCTACACTCTGTATATGCTCCACAAGCTAACATCTGCTAACCAGGTCAATAAATAACAGTGATTACATCGATTTTATGAGTATTTTAATTTTAAACTGTTACATTATGTTCTGCTCAGATGAGCTAAATAAGATCAAATCTGCTTACTTGTGTTGTGAAATGAGACGTTTTCCTGTTTATCTTCTGTTAATAAATCCACAACACAAAGAGCTTTTCTGGCACTATTTAAAACATTAGATATATTATATAAACTGTAAACTATTAATAATAATTGGATTAGTATTATTATTAATAGTTTTAATGATTTCTGCATCTTCAGTACTTTTTTTCTGCTCTGTTGCCAACATTTATAGTAATGGGAAATCCAGACTCTTGCCTGTTTAGCGTTAGTCATTAGCTTCTCCAGCCGATCACACGGTCACGTGGTCTTTATGCACTCCAGTTGTTCTATAGGACCTCCTTGCATCTCACTCATTCTACTCTGAGAATCGGGGTTACGCAAGTAACTTAAAGTTAAGTTATTTGCATTCTGTTSAATCTTTCATCTTATATATTTTCTATAACATTTCCAGACACATTTKCTTGATCAACCACCTTTTTTGCTTAGGTGAAAATGAAGAAATAAAAGAAGTACCATCATAAATCTTATTTTAGACTTTAGTATTAGTAAACYGTTCCTTCATTGTTTTTGGTAAATGTTACTAAACATCTTTACTGTAGTTATTATAAAGTTTTTTTTTTGTTGGTGTCAGAGTGGTTTAAACGTTCTGATGTGGTTTGCCCAGGTTCGATCTACTGAGGATAGACACAGAAAGATTTATTACAGCATCACTGGTCCAGGAGCTGATCAAAGTCCTGCAAACCTTTTTACCATGGACAGGGACAATGGTAACCTGTATGTCACTCAAGTACTCGACAGAGAGAAACAAGACCGGTATTTGGTAAGSATCCTCTGGAGTAATTGAGTATTATTTACTTAGTGTTGTCAAACTGCTGMGAATATCTACAATAATTTTCTTGCTCGTGTAACATAAATCTCATGATGTCTTTTCAGCTTCAGTTGCATGCTGTGGGAGAAGGTTCAGTCAATGCTGAGAAGCCCATGGATTTTGTAATCAATGTAATGGATCAKAACGACAACAAGCCTGTATTTACTCAAAGCATCTTTGAGGGAAAAGTTCCCGAGTCCTCACCCAAAGGTACTGTACATATGTGTTTGTTTAGGCTTTAAAATCCAGAAGCTGCTTCAACACAACCAGTACTTAAAAGGTCATTTTGTCATAACCTGTTGTGAAATGTTTGTGGAATGTTGAGTTAAAGTGATTTAATACTGTATATGCATTTTCATACAGATTAAAATATTTAATGTAAATTATTGTTACAATGAAGAACAAAAAACTGGTATTGTCAAAATAGTGCATTAGTAAAATTCACTGGTAATGCTTTTATTTTGATGAGTCACTAAGGGGATGTGGTAATCATTGTTCAGCTGTGATCACTGGAACAATGAGAAAATGTTTGTAGCCTTGTGTATTGCACGGGTTGCAAATTCTTCACAGTAAAATGTATAAACAAGAACAGAGTTCGTGTTTATACATACACAGAGTTCCATTCATCATACAACCAAACTCCTGGTATGCCTTTGAATAAGTTGGTAACTGAGACTCAACACAGTCTGAATATCTTATCAATGAAGAAATATTTTTAAATGCATTGAAAAATTAACACTGAAGAGAAGTGTTCATTTATTTTAAAGAAATTAGTCAAGTAATGCATGTTTTGTTCTTTCAAGGGAGTGCGGTGATCTTGCCAACAAAACCTCTTTCAAACAGGAAAAGATGAGCATCATCTGTGCAGATAGTCAGGTTCCTGTCTTCTCAGGATCTGAGT